AAAAAGATAAATCGAAAGACAGACAAATTTATGACAAAGAGAAAAGAACATATGATACTAGTCAATTAAACATCATACAGAAAACTAAGGAATAAGCAGACAAACGCGACCAAGATATAGGAATGAGCCAACCCAGACATGATTATGGCTACGACAAGTGTAATATATCCTAAGTTGGTTTCTTTCGTAATATATTCAGCAGGGTGTCGGAATGTACAAACGTGTAAAATAACTGCCGGATACCAGTCTAAATATATCCGTGCTCATGAATGACACAGCTATGCAATAACGGTCAGCCAAATTAAGATGGCCCCAAGAAGACGTTGATTGATACAATGTCTACCTTATGATTATGAACTCTTGGTACTGTCATATACATTGTAACTAAGTTTGTAATTGGATATATGGAAGATTTCTAATATGGACCCAACATTGTGCTCACCAAATTTTGTCAATCGTAACTACACACAGATGAAATAGTCTTTAGATCCTTGATTTATTTTTCAGCATATTATATTAACAAGACCTTGTTGATACATATTTAGTATCAACTTCACAAATAATACATGATGGTCTTGGTGTATAGATTCTAGGTGCTGACGTTTTTAATCATCTTAATTACGTGTCAAAGTGTTCTTCTATTTGTCTTTGTAAGTTATTAACGTTTAATGTTTGATCCATTTTTGGTTATATCCTTTAGGCATGGCTCGGTACTTGTACATCCCGCCATTGTGTTGTTGCGCTGTATTTTTTGTATTCTTGTGCTTCATTTTTGCGTATGTGCTTTATCTATATGTCATTTTGTTTTTCTTTGTTGACATATTTGTGTATTTTTATAGTGATTGAGATTATAACACAATGTTGACTGCTGTACCCCTATTTTGACATTTTTACGTATTATGTTTGTTTGTTTTGTTCACACATTGTTGTCAATATAATGGAATTTTTTGGGACTGTCATACAAGTGAAAGGTATAGCTAGTTTTAAAACCAGGTTTAATCCACCATTTTCTACATAAGAAAATACCTGTACCAAATAAAGAATATGACAGTTGTTTTCCATTCGTTTAATGTGTTTGAGCTTCTGATTTTGCCAATAGTTAAGAGAATTTCCGTTTTGAATTTTCCTTGGAGTTCAGTATTTTTGTTGTTTTACCCTTTTTTTTTTATATTTATAGCGTTTCCAAATATTATAATTTAACCTTGAATTTGCGTATACAGTAAAATAACAAATATACCGAACTCAAAGGAAAATTCAAAAATGAAAGTCCCTTAACAAATAGCTAAATGGTGTAGATTTTGTTCATGTTTTATTTTAAACTACGTGTACTATATAAATTTCGAATGATATTATCAATATCAATGGTACCACCGTTATTTAAAAAATACTTTTGTAGCCACGATAACTTAAAAGTAAAAAACATGTTAATGATTTTATGGCATGTGTATCATAACTAACAACTTATATATTTCAAAATATTTCACATGTTTTATAGTTGAGAATTTGAGTGAAATTATGTGTCTCTTGTCTTTTCATGTGCCTATCTCACTGTCATTTTCCCGCCAAAACGAGGGGGTTTCGGTCATTCAACACAACCGCCCAATAAATGCGAAGGGACTGAATTGCTTTGTAACTTTTTAGTCAATTATCCCCCCCCCCCACCTCACCCCCCGCATTTATTCTTAATAAAATAAGTTAATAGTTATTGTGTACGGTATTTATGTATGTTTATCTTGATTGAACTTGTGTTACATGTTTAATAAACTAAGCAGCGGCGTTGTCTTGTATGTTTACACTTTAATTATGAGTTTTTGTATTCTCCATACTATTTATAGCAGTATAATTTCCTCTGCATGCTAAAACCCCCCTATGTCGTCTACCAATTACCAAACGACGGACATGAAGGTCTGGATGGGGTTTATACAGAATAGTGAATAATGGGCCAAAAAAAAAAAGAATAGAGAAAAATGGACCAAAAAAATTAAGAGAAAAGAATAATAGGGTACTAGAATATAAAGAATAGAGAATGATGGGTAAAATTTATCAAGAATAGAGAAAAATGGCGTACAAAAATTAAAGAATATAGAATTGAGGGACCCCCAATCCATACCATTGGACATTATAATGCCACTCAAACATATCATTATTTGATAGTTTCAATCTTAATGACTTTATCTCAAAATGTATAAAGGCATCCTATCAAGACTATAAACGGTTTACAAGACAAAGTTTAGACTTAAATTGGTATTTTTGGAAACAATAGACGTCCGCCTATTATAGAAAATAATTGATAACTGTTGCATAACATAATGGTTAGCCCACGTTGATTACGTAAGTGAAACATGTGTAATGCGATTTTATTTTTTGTTTATTTTATTGTTAGCTGAAACTACTATCAAAACTCGAAAAAAACCTACACTTGCTTATCTTATACTAGGATGGAAATAAGGAGCATGTCGATCGTACCTTTCAAATCATATTCATTGAAATTGATCAGGAAGATGACACGCCTTTTGTGATATAGACATGTAGGAGGTAAGCAAAAAAAAGAAGGTGGGGGGAGGAGGGGGAAGGAAAGAAAGGGGAAAAATGGAAAGAGGAACAAATAGGAACAAAAATAAAAAATAAAAAAAACGGGATTAGGGAAATGGACCACCCGTGTCGCCGAACACCTCCCCTCCCCCCTTCTCATTGATCTTTATTCTTATTTTTGACTGATGATCCAAATGTTACGTCATAGCATTTTCAATCGTGTAAGGTATCAACTGTATGATATGCAAGTCGGAAAATTCTTCAAAGTCTAATTATTCGACAAACTAGATTTAAGCATGTGTTCTAATGAAGAATATGACACGCGTTTGGGATGTGGGATAAAGATAATAATAAAAAGTGGGGATGTGGAATTTACGGGGTAAAAAAATGGTGACGTTGGAAAATGAAGGAAAAAAAGTTGGAAGTAGGAAAAAATTACAAAAAAGCGGGATTTTGGAAATGAGTACCCACGTGTCACTGATCATATTTTCAAGTTGGTACCAGTTTTGTATTGCCCTTTAATATTGCCTATACCATCCGTAAGAATACACTTCTGACAAAAAACAGTTGAGATTATTTTGTAATTTCTGCTACACATTTAACATATATTTCTAGTAAAAAAATAAAGACATGCTCTTCTAGATAAAGATTCTATCTTTTCCAATGTATCAATATAAAAACAATCAGCATATCAACATTTTTTTGGTTATATTTATGACGTAATATACACTGATGCATTCTCTATAAAAAACATTATTTTTTTATTACTACCGACGACGCATCATTTAATGTGCTTAACATTGTAACATGATATATCTAATGAAGGTAATATTTATGATTGTTTTTCTCCATCATTAGAAATTTTCTCGGTAATATGTGCCAATAAAAGTCAACATGGTATTTTGTGTCTCCAGTCTATTTGATAGTTTTTTGTGTGTTGTGTGCCGATCTGATAAGAAAATTTTTTTTTCAAAATTTTTTTTATAGTTAACTTTGTTCGTATGTTTGTGCTGATAACCCACTTTCCATGGTTATGGGAGGGTTTGGCGCTCGCATACATGTTGAAGGTCGTCACATTCTGTTCTGTTAATGCCTGTACCAAGTCAGAGCCTGGAGCCAATAAAACTTACGACTAAGATTGATCGTAAGTCATGAACAATTCAGTATACTTTAGATTAATCGTAGTCGTTAGTTTTTTTTTTTTGTGAAACCGACTCCTGTAATTTAGTGGTTGTTGCTTGTTGTTGTAGATCATATTTGTACTTCTACGTCATTTGGACTCTGGTGGAGAATTGTCTCATTGGCAATCATACCAAATCTTCTTACTTTCATATTGTATTCCGTTTATTGTTTTGTACATAAATCAGGCAGTTAGTTTTTCTCGTTTGAATTGTTTCAATGTGCAATGTCGAGGCATTGTATAGCTAGTTATGCTGTATGGGTTGTGATCATTGTTGAAGGCCGTACGGTGGCCTACTGTTGTTCACTTCTATGTCATTTGGACTCTGGTGGAGAGTTGTCTCATTGGCAATCATACCACTTCTTCTTTTTTATATATTGTATTTCTTTTATTGTTTTCTTCATACATCAGGCGGGTAGGTTTTCTCGTTTGGATTGTTTTCAATTTGCCATGCCGGGATATTGTATAGCGTGTTGTGCTGTATGGGTTTTGATCATTGTTGAGGGCCGTACGGTGAAACATAGTTGCAAATTTTACTTCTTTTACGTTATTTGGTCTGTGGTGGAAAGTTGTCGCATTGAAAACCATATAACATCTTTTACATACCGAACGTAATACAACGAAGGATTTTTATTTAAAAAGGGCATAGTTTTACTCTGTATTTGTTTAAAGATATCTAGTTATTTGAAAAAAAAGAAGACGCCGATCTTGTTTTTCGTAGACATTAAAGTATAGCTCATATTAGCCCTCGGAGGACAAACATGTCAGACAACGAACATGTGTGTGAGTGTGTGTATTTTTGTGTGCGAAAACTCTCACCACAATGTACTTTAATTGATAATAACGATCCAATAAAACAGCTACATCATTGTATATTTTAATTCAGTAAATTGCAATTTGTAAAACGAGAGAGATAGAGAGAGAGAGTAAAAATGTTAAAAACTATAAAATAAAAAAGAACAAAATAAACGTTCTATAAATGTAAACAATGTAAAGATTATCCCATTTTTTAAATAAAAAAAAGTTCATAAAGAACGTACTGATCTGATTAAAATACAGATCCCGTGTATCCCAGCTTTGCTTACAAGGATCTGAAAACGCTCCATTCTACTTTCAGTTTAAAAACCTTTCGGGATCCTCTGGGTTTGTCGGATTAAACACACTTTCAAAAATTTGAAGGCTGTAATTTCATTGGCTGATGTAATTACTACCAGATCAGAAGAAAATCGGAGTGTTGTCAGATATCCTTGTGAGCAAAGTTTAGACACTGGATTTGTATTTTAATCCCCCCCCCCCCCCCCCCCGGTTTGTTCACATATATGTTAGTCTGTTGTTGATGGGCCATGTTAATGTTTAAGACATAAATAAAATGATGATAATGAGTGTTGCTAGATTTATATATCAGATGGCTGTCGCTTCTCTAAATAACTCTTAATTTTCGGCAATTTCTGCACGTTTTCGTAAAACGTTTTGATGTCGGCAAAGTCTTTGTATAAACCTGCACCCATACTTTTACCCTCGGTTATTTTATCAAGAATGTCAAAGAAGGCAACGTCTGCTACTGAAAGCTACAAATATATAAAAAAAAAAAAGAGAATTACATCTTTTTCCGTGACAGAGTTTGTAAAACTTTCCTCAAATAATGGTGCAACTAGAACAAAGGTTCCACGGAACCGGCTTTGCTCAACTAAAAAAAAAAACCACGAGCAATGTTATCTAGTACTTACTGGTCTAATTTCAACTAATAAGGCTTTCAATGGAAAATTTTGTTTACATTAATTAACCTATACATATATATGGTTTTATCATGACAGTTATACTATGAAAACTGTTAAAACCTGCTAAGAAACAGAACTGAATTAACGTAAACAATTCATTTACTTAAAACATGAACATGATTATCCTCACACTATGTCTGTACTCGGTTGAAAATAAACTCATCATAGATACCAGGATTAAAATTGTGTACGCAAGACTCGCGTTTTGTCTACAAAAGACTCACCAGTGACGCTCGAATAACCATAAAGGCAAAATAAAGTACAAAATTACTCCATTTGATAAAAAAAACCAACACAACATCGTGCTTTGGCATGTTTGTATGTAGGGGCCAGCTACAGCCCGCCTCCGTGTGCGGGATTTTTTCTTGCTGCGTTGAAGACCCATTGGTGACCTTAGGCTGTTTTCTGCTGTGTGGTTTGTTTGTTGTCTCTTTGCCATATTCCCCATTTCCATTCTTTTATCTATTATCTGGCAATTATCAATAGTCTTGTCATATTTGCTGATAATTTTCATAGATAAAGTTATAAATGTTACCTTAGATCCTACTAGACATTTTCCTCCATTTTCTTTCAGTAACTTGGCCATAAAAGCGAAAAATTTGGGTAAAACTTCTGTATTCAATTTTTTATTATTTTCTGCCTGAAAAAGAGAAAAATATTAAAATCGATAACATTTCATTCATAATTTAAATTAAAAAAAAATCAATTAATCAATTAGTAATCAGTCAAAGAAAAACTGCACAAACTAAATGTTCCTACCGAATATAGTTTCATGAATGCTAGGGGCGTTGCCATTAGAGGACACGTGGTCGTTATTCTTCCGAACAAACGATACACAACGATTGCGAATAAAAAAACCGGATCATTTACTAGTAATGGTGAAGGATAAAATAAACTTTCGTAGGTACTGTAGGAAAGTGTTCTAAATCAGGCCGTTACATTATTTTACATTTGTCATTTCTGGGCCTAAGTAAGCTTACTATCCTAAGATCTGGATAATTCTAATGCTGTTTCAGATACGTTTAATTAATATTTTTATTTAATTTAAAAATAACTTGTGTTGTTCGTTTTTATTATTATTCTTAAAATATACAAACGTTTGTATATATATTCAGATCAGTTTATTTTTTATTTATTTTTTGTATTTGTCACAAGTATCTTGTTTACTTATATGAAAATAAAGAATTATTATTATTATTATTATTGTTAACACAAATACTGACCATTTTTGCTTCATCTTTTTCGAAAAACACTTTTATCATTTCTGTGAACATGTCATTGATGGTCTCAAAGATGACGTCACATTTGGTATTTTCCATGTTATTGGTACCATACATTCCTGTTTAAAATTATTAACATTTATAGTATATGTGATCGTAGCATTTGTGCTTAAGAAAAATGTATGCCGATTCCTAATATGTCCTTTCTGTACAATGGAGTGTAAATCAAAGCTGGTAGATCATACCCACATTGTAGAAATTCTTGATATCCATTCTAATTCTATTTTTTTATTTAACCTATTCAACCACGCATTTTAAGCCAAACGTTGATTCAATGGAAAGTTGATCTAATGGATCTAATCAATCGGACGGGTAGATAGATGGATGGCTGTTAACGTCCAATGGCAAATTAAATGCTTTTCAAGACGAGAACATGATACGAGGATATGAATATAAACACCTGCTTTGCACAAAAGGGACATGCTGAGTCGGATATTTAACGTGCTAGTCTACAAGGTAACAGTCCACAGGAAAACATGTCACGCTACCCCTAAAGATCATTCTGACTCCGAACCGACTATTATTTGCTCTTCTCCTAAATGTAGCGTGTTTACTGTAGAAACAGATAATACCAATTTGCAAGTCTTTGGTTTCATACGGCTGGGTTCTAGCCCACGACCCCCAACACTCGATGCAAGCACGCTACCAAGAGACTACTGAGGCCGTCCATCCGTCGGTCCTAAGCATTTGTTTATATCACGTTCAAAAATAGACTGTCCTCATTCCATGCATAACCTTCTAGAACCATCCTTTTTAAATAAATGAACCCACTCCTGATACACTGCCAGGTTTTGAGTTACTTTCATCATTAGTATAACTTAAAATGAATTGACCATTTTGAAGACCTTTTTTATATATCGTGAAGAGATATTTCAGATTAAAAATTACTTGCGAAGTTCATAAAAAGGTTGCTGTCGTACTCGTCAGTCTAATGTTACGAAAGTAGTTCTGGCAACATGGTCTATCGAAGTGTAAGGAAAGAAATATTAACGGACCAATCACATCTAAATACTTGTACTTATATTCATAGAACCATTTTTACTATTCGGGTGTTTGGGATAGTGGTATGAGCTATTGCCGATTAGTCATTCGTCACAACTCGGCCGATTCCGTAGGAGAAGAGTAGCGGATTCATCCGAGGACTGCCGATTGGCCGATTAGTATTGAAAAAGTACATAAACAACTTACCAAATTCACGAGCAATGAACCGAGCAATGGCACCCGTCTGGTTAATCATGGTTTTATTATCTACCGTTAACACAGGCATCTGGCCATATGGTGTTTCTGAAATAAAGTCATAAGTTTTTAATAGTTTGTACTTATGTTGTACTGTTACACCACTATCTCAGGATCGGAGGAGGATTTGGCGCCAGCAAATATGTTTTACTACGCCACATTCTGTATCTGTCTCTTCCAAGTCAGGAGCATTTACTTCGGTGGTTGTCGTTTGTTGCTGTTTATAATATTTGTTTTTCGTTTATTGTTTTGTACATAAATCATACCTCTAGTTTCGTTTTGATTGTTTTACATTTGTCATTTCGGGACCTTTCATAGCTTAATTACTTTGTGGTATGGGTTTTGTTCATTGGTGAAGGCCGTACGGTGACCTATAGTTGTACGTCAATTTATACGTCATTTGGTCTCTTGTGGAGAGTTGTTTCATTGGCAATCATACCACATCTTCTTATTTTTATATAAAGGTTTGCTTTAATTTTCCAAATTTACCCAAAAAAGTATTTTAAATATGTATGATCCATGCCAAGCTGGTATTGACTTTTGTATTATTTTCCGCAATGGCAGACGCCTAAACAAATGTCTTTGTAAAACAAAACGTGAATTGTACATTGTATATGTTCGTTGTAATCTCTTTATAATTTAACACAATTGTCATTTAAATTTGTCATTCAAATCTAAAGATGAAAAATGGGAACAACGGTAAATCTCCTAATCTCAGTTATTTGTACAATGATCATAGTATCTGTAAGACATGCATGATATTGTATATTTGTGAATAACATTTAGTTTATTTTGAACTACGAGACATTGAATTACGTGCATATATAGCTATTAAAAAAATATTGCATGTCGTCATGTCCATGATTTAGTAGTAGAATCTCCCTTGTCTCATTCTTAATATAACCACATGCCTACAAAAATATTTAAATTCAGAAACGAAGAATGAAGAATTGGAGCTAAAATTGACAGTAATTTAAGCCGCCTCTAATCTACCGTCTCCTTTGCTTTCAATATGGAAAATTACACACTACAGTGAACGAGTAAGTTAAACATCCCCCCTGGTCGTGGCATTCGCTTAAAAGCTCAAAAGTACTTATGACAAGAAGCAATATATCAATATTTTTTCCGGTATTAAACCTGCTTCAATCTAAAAATTCTTCAATTGATAATGTCAAAACCAATTTTCAATAATCATCTTTGTAAATAAATCATGTAAATTAAGTCCGTTTGAAGTTTACTAAAATGCACAAAATAAAAATTAAAAAAGTCGAATTTCATACGTGGTAGATGAATTTATATATATGCCATTTGTTTTTGTCAATTGCCCATTCAATCTGTCTTGTAAATATGTACTTCACAATCAGTGGCGGATCCAGGAGGGGGGGGGGGGAGGGGTTCTGGGGTTGGAACCCCCTTTTTTTTGGACGAGCAATGCATTTGAATGCGGACATATAGTTGGAACTCCCCCTTTATCCTGGGTTGGGACCCCCCCCCCCCCCTTTTTTTAAAAATGGCTGGATCCGCCCCTGACAATCCAGCCTATACAAAGTGAAAGACAACCTTGACTAAGATAACCTCCATTCATATCTAAATTATGTTGTTTAGAATTATGAATTGAACGGTTATAACTTGTTTAGAATTAATAATACAACACCAGACATGTTGAGGTCAAGGTCAATTCATTCACTCCATCAACTTTTAATATATTGGATCAAATAGACAACTTGTTTTATTACTGAAGCAAACATTTAAAAATTAGTTGTCGGACTTTTCATACAATTTAACATAAATATACACTGCAGAATAAGAAACATCTGATTATTAATCCTTTATTTTCGATCGGATTTGTTTTATACCGATACCAATGGCAATCCAAAGATAAACTGTGAGTGTGTTTGGTTTAAATGTTTGTTTTCGTCTTAGCAAGCAAGGAATGTAATTGATCAGTATGCAGGCTTTCAAATAATATTGATGTTTTCATGTTTGTAATCTTGAATTTTTCTACAACATGTTGAACTTATAAACTCAGCATTGTTTAATATTATAAAATTGTATATATAGTTTACCAGAAATCGATTAGTATTTAAAAGGGTCTGGATTGGGTTGGGGCGCAGGAGAATTTTTTTGCGGATGAAATATCCATTTTCACATTTTGCCAGCTAGTAAGGCTTATTCACTTTCACTCTTGTACACAACTAGTTACTCCATTGACCTGCCTTTTGTTGAACAGAATATTCAGTTATATAATGTATTAGGCAAATATATATCCTCTCAGTTGGTACTAAGCCAAAATCCCCACTCCTCCAAAATATAAAATGATCATCCCCTTGTCTCTTTTCTTTTTTAGTCCAATTTTTATCCATTCTTTATTTTTTAACCTATTATTTCCTGCTCTGTAAACCCCACACAGACGCTCATTCAATCGAGCTGTTGTTTTCAATATACATTTGTAAAACAACAAGGCCGACAAAAAAATATACTTGTGTCTACTGCTTCTTTATAATTGTATTTCAATCTTTACTACAATTCGCATGCTTGTAAAATATAAGATACGAAAAATGTAAATAGAAAGGAATTTTGTCGCACATTAAGGGACGACCATTTGATTTTCGGAGGGGGGCGGGGGTGTGAAATAAAATATCGTGGCCTGGTTAGAGTTGAAAATAAACAATCTTGCGCAAGACAGGATGAAAATAAAAAAATCTGCAACACAAAATGCAGGAAATAATTGTATACAAAAATGAAATAACAATTTTAAGTGGCTAACCCGCAGAAAACAAGTATGCATGCGTACATGAAGTAACAGCTGAAAAGGAATAATCAATCCGCAGAATACCTTTCGTCTCATAATTTGGGCTACACATATATAAATTATCTTACTTGGTTTAAATGCTGCCCATGAATCGCCCTTTAATCGGTCATCTTCGAACTCTTGACCAGCTCCAGCAAACATAAGACGAAGTACTTCACCTCTTCCTCTTTCTTCAAAGTAAGATAGTTTGTATTTAGCAGCCATTTTGAATGGATGGTGCTATCTTCTTGTTGCTAAAAAAATGATTAAAGTTATAAGACTGTCGAAGCTATTTATACAAGAATACAAATGATGTTCTATATACTGACTTTGAACCATGACCTATATAATAGAATTTAAGTAATTAGACTTAAATTCGGTTATCGCAGGGGTCACATCCGGAATAGTTTTTTGGTTTTAGCTATACTTTATTCATGACGTATTATTCTGTGACGTATTGCAGTATTTTCCAGATAATTTGAAACTTGAAAGCTGCTCAAGTTGTAGTTCGCAAAAATTTGAAAAAAAAAATGAAAGAATGAATTAGGAACTTTTCTGGTAATTTAGCATTTGTTACGTTATGGTATTTGTGTTTGTGCATTCCATTGATAATAATAGGTCATCGCAGGAGAATGATTAATTTGTGTGATCATGATATAATATTGAATCAGATATTTAATCGCACCACGTGGCGAGCACATGCATTTGAAAATGCTGTTTTAATTTTTGCGCTTTATTTGACTTAAAGTTAAATTGAAATCGTTTATTTAACTTAATGAAAATATTCTTTAAATTTATGCATGTTTTTTAATTAATTTGTTTTTACTTGCAGTTTTCATAAAATGCGAATTGGTTGTACGGTGATGATGGGTTATCAATTTAAATGTCTATGTTTAGCGTTTATAGAGGATAGTTTTTGTTGGTTTTTGGACTTGGTCCGACCGGTAAGTAAAATGTATTGTTTATAGCAGCAAATAGCATATTTTTCATATATAAAAATATAAACAAAAAATGAAAATACAAACTAAAGGTTAAGACGATTTGGACTCTTAAGTATTATACTATGTCCCAGAGCTGATGTACATGTATAACTTGAACATTACCTAATTATACCGTTGGTACAATATGATTATGGTCATTGAAATGATTCATAATTCTACTCCTTTACCGGCCACAGCTGTAGTATTTGTCGTAAAATGATATGATTTTTTTTTAACAATTGCATTTTGTAGGTTACATCTTGGACTATTATACTTAGTTTAATAGTCCCAGGACTGAGGTTACATCAAGGATTTGTGTAATGAGAATTTTATACATGTATGTGATTTGTATATATATATATGCACTTAGCATTATGTAGAGTAACTTAAACAAAAAATTGAAATGCTTAATTGCTTAGCTAAGTAGAGATACGTTTAATCATTAAAATATTTTGAATTGTAGCACAATATGTTGAGACGTTCATCCAGAAAGAGAAAACCATATAACTTCTCCAGTCAAGGTGCAGCAGCTAGCAAAAGGATCCCTACTAGGGTTGTGATTGTCAGCATTCCAGCATTCCAGCATCTCAGGTCCCCTCTCAGAATAGTACATGTTCATCCAATATAGTTTCTGCACCTGTTGTTACTTTAGCTGGTTCTTGGATATGGACTGGTTCCCTGCCTGACCACTCTCATTTGGCTCTTTTATCATCATATCATCGTACGTAATCTATTCTAGACCCCAGATTGGGCAGTCTACATATACTGTTTCACGCTTGGCAGTGCCTGGAATGGTACCACAGACAGCTAGGGAATAATAGATCAGAGCTAGGCAATCAATCAAAATTTTATAATACTCTTACACCTACATGTAATACAACACAAATCCACACTCTAAATCAAGTAATAGGTGTACATACTGATATTGCTGTCAACGTACCTCCAAATCTTAAGGAAAAAAAATAAATAAAAGTGAAAACATTGATATTGCGTCACTTTTGTTGCAAAATATGATTTCAGATACCAAATGCACAAAAAATAGAAGTTCAAAATGGAGATCTTGTCACCACAAACAAAGCTAAAAATAAATAGCATTGAGGTTTGGACTACAGAATTTATTATATTTACAAGCATTTATTGTAATGCTCATTTTGAAATATTTCAAGAACTGTTAAAGTACATGAGTATAATTCGCTTAGGTGCAAATTGCTGTGCTAATCTTGGAAATATTACGATGAACAATTTCGTTTACGAAAAAGTTTGATCCTTCCAAGTTCCTGGGCTACCGTTGATTCAGAATTATGGTTATTGTACATAAATGATAACCAAGAGAACAAAAAGTACTGGTAGTACTACGGTTAATATGGACACAGATTCAAAAGTTAATACAACTGATCTGAAATGTAATGCTTTTAATTATGAAGGTGGTTGTTTCAGACAAACTTGTTTTATAACCATGTTTGCTTTCGTTGTAATGCTGGTCATCCTTTTATGTCCTGTCGTGATGGGCAAACATTTGCACGGCCTAATCAGAGAGCTTTTATGATAATACACAATTCAGGTCTCCAAGACCTCAGAATCAGGCAGTGAACAGGCATTATTTTTATATAAATTCGTTTCGTATTGGTGCAGCAACCACCTTGTCATTGTCAATGGATGGCGTACCAGATTTGAAATAAGGGAGTTCTGATGCACACAATGGTTATATTTATATTTAGTTCAGAAGTGATTATGCATTTAATTAAATTGTGTAGTATTAGCTGTAGGAAATCCTGTGAATATTTTGATCATCTAGTATCGAGCAAGCTTTTGTGGCAGCAATGGATAATCCAGGTGGGGTTAATTTAGGACTGGGTCGTTTAAATGTTTAGTGTGGTGGCATGGTCTTGAGACAGGTTAAAATCAAATTCTAAATAATCAGTTTTAATACAGTTTTTGATATTTTGGCTTTGCCATAGATATATATGTATGTAAATATGTCTAAAATCATTTGTTCACATTGATTCTTAAAGGTATCTGGCTGACGAAATTGCAGCGAACCGCCCTATTTATGGCAGTTGACAGAGTCTCTGTTTTCCTGTCAATGTGGCAGAATTCGCTGCATATAATCTGAATTTTAATAGCTAATATACTCGTGAAAATATAACATTTTAGGTTTACAAGCACCCGTGTATTCCACGGTCCTTCTATACATATCCGTCTATCTAGAATCTATCTGCAAGGTTGCTATATTATCTGCGGTAACCATTCATCTATCTCTCTATATCTATATATATATATATATTGTTGAATCTATATTGTGAATAAAAGCTGTGGCCAGATATCGCCAAACCATAAATGTAATTTGTTTTAATGGAAGCATTTGAGATAATGACTTTTACTAGATTTTCACCTAAAATGAATTATTTACTAAAGCTATTATCGATATTTTTATTAAAATAGTGAAAACATCCCTAAATAAGATTGTAGTTCATGTTCTATATATATTAAACATGTTAAAGGTGTTCGCTTATCTTGTTTTTAACCTTTTTGTCAGATATTCGAAATCCTTGATTTTATCCATGACGTGCCATTCAAAAGTTTTTCTTCTAATTCCATTTTTTCTTTTCATAATTCGATTACATATTGTATAAAATACGAATTTTGAAAATCTTGTAAAATCACTTTTTTTCATAGTCTTTGAACTAAATGTAAGAAAAATCTAGAGAAAACAATTTCTCTCTTAATTTTCAAAGTTTATTATTTCAAAAACAAGGACACGGACCTTTCATTTTGTCTGCTTTTTAAGTTTTGTTATTTATATACTTTCGATTTATAACAGTGTTAAAAAGCTTTTTATTTTTAAACAGAGTGGCGAGAAAGGAGAAGTGGTATATATTAAACGTATGGTACGCGTGGAAGTACTAGTGCGCACAACTCCTCAGATACGATTAATTAAGATCAAGCATTTGGTTTACCATGCAAAGACATGATACATTGAAGATCACGCGCACGAGACAGGAATACACTTCATTAGATACGATCGAGATCAAATGTTTTGTTAGCCATGCAAAGACATGAAACATTGAATGATATATTTTTTGTTAAAGGCCACTATTTACACTGTTGGCTATTTCGTTGCGGTCAACTTGTGTAGGCGGAGGAGGCCAGAGTGCCCGGAGAGAACCACCACCGACCTTCGGCAGGAACATTGACAACCCTAGTCAATAGTGTGCTTCGCGTAAAATAATAATGGTGAAGGTTATAAGTCCACTAAGCAAAACACACAGAAAACCCTAAATGATTAAGCACCATGAACCACACAAACAATAGAGGCACACAAGTATGCGAATGAGTCTAATTCGTTTTGAGAATAAAAAGATTTTGAATTTAAACACAGATTTATGGTTTGAGCGGTCTTGGTAAAGGTTAATCCGGAAAACGTTTCAAATGCATCAAATTTATGAAGTGTTGTTTTCATTTTTGAAATATGAATTCATATATTGCTTGATTGGTATAAACCTCTCAACAGTAACGCGATTGTTGATTGCTTAACGTTAAGTTGTAAATATGTACTTACAGGACAGAAACACATTGACAATAAATATATACAATAGTTAGGTACTGCAATTGGGGGTCGACTGGGAAGATTGGCGATAATTTTGGAAAGTCACTTGAAAATGGTGGTATATTGGATAGGGAAAGAAATGTATTCCTGCAACAGGCCACCTACGAATCCCTAAAAGATTTGTCACAATGGTTCATAACGTGCAGAGTGCGTGGCACTCTCTCTCTCTCTTCACACAAGGCATCGACTTTAAGTTAACGTTCCCTTTCTGGGCGGATGTGGCAGCGAATTTATACTTCATCCATTGCGTACACCCCTCTTTGGCAAGGGTTTATCTGACGGTCGGAATAAGACAAAGGGATGATCATATTTCTGTACCCCAAACACTGTCACAGAAGGTATTGCATGACGATCTGTGTCTTTCATTTCTGTATTCTTTATATTTTTTGCCAATTATTCTCTATTGTTTATATTTTTGCCAGGTTTTCTTTATTCTTTTTTTTTTTTTTGCCTTTTATATTCTGTATTTTTATCCAATTATTCTCCATCTGTAAACCCCATCCAGACCCGCATGTATTATGTTAGTTGGACGAAATAAATAATAATTGTATAATATATAAAGATGTTATTCCAGCTGAATGGACCAGGGGTACATAGACATGTACATGTATATGTATACATGTATAATGAACTATCATGATGTAATCTAATAGAATAAATGAACTTTGACTAAAACCAACAATGTTTTAAACAA